TCCCAATCTCAGCTGGGCATTTTTCAGTTATTTAGTAGTAAGACAGTATTTTATATATGCAAGCAGAGCTCTCATTGACTTCAGTTGCGTTTGTGAGTGTTCAGCACAAATGTCAATCAGGCCACTGTGTTTCAAGGCGGGCATCCAGGAAATAAGTGTCATATAATTAATGACCAATTCTGAAAATTTGGCTTTTGTGACTTATTTAGCATCCATCACTGAGGAGCTGTTTGGCAGAGACAGGAATAGAAGCCAAGGCAGCATTAAACTGTCTTTAATTGTGAGACTCTCCTTTTATTTCATGCAGTCTTCTGCCTCATTTATTATACCTTTCAACTTCTGCAGTAAATGAAGCAGATGTCTTACAGATAGCAGCATCCGTCACCAGATATAGCCATGATCCATCTGTGGAACAGCTCTGTCTTGTTCACTGAATGAGGCAGGTTCTCATAGTTTTTCATTATATAATATTTTTTTTCTATCTCAAAATGCACACAGGCAATATGGCTGTATTAAGGTAGAACAGGCAATCTTAATTCTTGCTGTGAAGACTGTGGAAGCTGCCTACAATATTTTATTAATATTATATGTCCATCTATTTTTATTGTGATTTTATTGTTCTTCTGTAGCATTATAAGGGGTTAATTCAAGCTAGGGGGGAGGGGAAGGGAAACACAAGAAAAAGGATAATAGAGTCAGATACTCCATTACCGAAGCATAAAGAACAATGCAGAAGTCAGTCACTTTGGAGTTTTACCTCTATCCATGCTGAGTTTTTAATAGATTGAAACAGAAAGCCATGTGGGAAACCAGAACAAAGAACACTGAAGTGCTTTAAGAGAGCCCAATAAAATTGGGTAAGAGGCAGAGATTGCTGGGGAGACTGAACCCCAGTTCCCAGAGATAGCAATATCGAGGATAAGCCAGGCCTGCTGAAACTTCTAGGTAGGCTATTAATATGAGTAAATACTTTTTACTGTGCTTAAACCCTGTTTCTGTTACTACCCTACTATTGAGATTAAGCAATTCTTTGATTTTAAAAAGCTGTTTTGGTTCATTGGGAACTGTAATCAGTAGTGAATAAACAAGGAAGACTGTCAGGTAGCTGAACCTGCTGATCAGTCACAGTTGCACAGTGCACTGGAGGCTCAGACCCAGTTTCAGAATGGGAGGACTATGTGGTTTCATACTAGTGCAGGTGAAGGCAAGATGCCTAACACCTGAGGGGAGTACACCAGAAGAGTTGCCTGCAACTAGCCCAAAACTCAAACATCAAATGGCATCTTTCAAGCAACTGCCTACCTAACTCCTATTTTCCCCGGGCACCAGCCCTTAAAATAGGCGAAGCTGCCAGCTGTGCCCCCTCATCAATACGGACCACATAATTACTTGACCAAATTAACACAGACTAACTACATCATCCAAGGTTCATTCACCTACACCTCTACTAGTATCATATATGCCATCACCTGATTACAGTTCCTCTTGACTGGCTACATTGGACAGACGGAGTGATACCTGTGTGAGATTGAGGGGATGCCAATCTGACTTCAAGTCCACAAATACACAAAGGTCCATGGCAGAACACTTTAACCTTCCTGGACTTTCTATCTCTGACCTCAGAGTAGCTGTTCTTATACAGCAAAGCTTTAAAAGCTGATTTGAATGTGAAATTGCAGAACAAGAATTATCCACTGACTGGATTGTGTTAAGTATGGTCTAAAAAGGGACTATGGATTCTTACCCCATTATCTTTATTGAACCCTTTGTCCTTATGGGTTTATTACTTGTTCACCTCTCAGCACTGCTCCCTCTTCCCCACTTCCTTCCCTTTCTTGTCTTTTGTATTTAAATCACTCTATTTGGTAGCCTGCTCTGTGCATGTCCTTTCACAGCATCTGATTAAAGGAGCTCTTGCTCACAAAAGCTTATGAATCTCTGATTCTGTTAGTTTATAAGGTGCACCTCTTCCCTGCCTGTAGCCCCAAACTGGGATGCTGGAATTTCCTATTAGATGCTTGGCTTTAAAAGCCTGATAACTGCTTTTGTGTGTAATTTCCTAGAGTTTTTAAAAAGGAAACTGTAGAAATCCTATCACAGCTCATCAGCGGAGTTGTAACTTTTTATATGAGTTACACGTGTGCTGCCACTTGTTCTAATGAAGTAACTAATAGAATAATAGGTTGTTACCTGCCAGGTGGATTATTGCTGGAGGGAAATGAGACAATAATAGACAGACACATGAAACAGCCAATGTGTTTTGTCACCGGGCTTCACAGATATTTTCTGGCAGGAGGAGGACAAGATTTGGGCTCTTGCTCAACATGGGAAAATTTCCATCCAGGTTTTACAAATGAAGTCTAAATGGGACTGGTTGGATTTTAACAATACTGTAGGCTGTGCTGCTATTCTCACCTATTATTTATTAGGCCCCTAGTGGATGCCTAACATACTTCAGAGTTTACAATTTTAAAAGATGACTGATGAAAATGGGACGATAAGCTGCAGAATACAAGTGACCAGGCTAATAATTAATGTGCAGTTTTGATTTAAAAAAAAAATTAAATGAGCCATTTTTTGTGGTTGCTGCAGAAATAAGGGCTGCTTAAAAACAACAAGCAAAACTGCACTTTACTGGAAGAAACGGCATGTTACTTTGACCCAGTTCTGTAGTGTCTGTATAGATTGGGCCCTTCAGGAGGGCTTTTTGGCACTTTTAGCCAAAGCTGATTCAATTGGCTATTAGATGAAAGCTCCAAAAAAGCCTCACCAAAGCACCTGATCTATACAGATGTTGGGAGCCAGGTCCAATTAACATGCTGCTGCTTCTGGGCATACGCTGGGCTTGGCGTGGGAGCACAAGTAAACCTTTTTTTGTGTGGTGTCTTTTTTTTTTTTAATGTCTGCAAGTAGCCAAGATGTTTACTTGACTCAGCTGAGGGAAACAGATTTTTGAAAGGTTGAGAATAGGGAAGCTGCAATGGAAGAACGTACAGAGATGTCTGCAAGAGAAAACTAAGCATATTAAGGCTGGACTGGAGCAGAGAAGATGGGACAAAAACTTATATTGTCACACACTTTCTATTTCTAATCAAATAAGTCATGGGCATGGACAGGAAGTATTAGTTTTATTTACAAGGGACCAGAAAAAACAAGGGAATAACTCAAAATGAAGATGTGCAGTGTGACATAACTAAATCCTTGGACAATTAATTATCTTGGCCTGTACTGTAAGGATGGATTTGGAACCCTGTGAAGTTAGCATTAAAAAGATTTGCAGAACAAGGCTGCAGTACTCAAAATGGACAAACTTAATGGCACAGAAAGCAGGAGATGGAGATCAGAAGTGATATGGAAGAAAAAGTAGTAGGGTTTAGCCTAAGCTTGGGTATACGGAAGAAAGAAATAGGAAAAGAGATTCCACTCCAGGGCAATAATGAAGCTCTACCTTCCCCTGGGCAACAGAGAAGCTGTCCCCCAAATAATGGCCTAAACCAAAGCAGCATTCTCTGTGAGTAAGCATTCAGTCTCTTTGGAAAGTGAGTTGTCTTGCCTATTCATACCCAAATTTGGTTCATTTGGGTATATAATCTACCTAGCTAGCTAAAGGTGCAATTCCTGCAAAACACAGTCTAGAAGGCAAAAGTCTGTAAAGATTCACTCAGATACTGAAATGGAGTTATGAGCTCGCTGAGGAGAAAAGTAAGACTCTTTCCCAGCTGTCCTTCCCAACTTTTTGGAGCTCAGAGGAGAGAAGTTTTAATCCCTCTAGTGTATCCCCCTGCTCTAAGACATGTTCAAGTAAAGCTAGCTAAACTGTCCCTGACGGATGTTCTTGGAAACTTCCAGTGTCAGGAATTCCACAAACTGTCTCTTTCAGTGATGTAACTGTCCTTACTGAAATACTTTACTAATATTTAACCTGAATCAACCCTGCAAAAAAAAAAAAAAGAAAAAAGAAAAGAAAAGATTAGTACTTGTTCAGTCCCTAATGGCCTTGGAGAGCAGTGATCCCCATTTTTTTTTTTTTTACATATTTGAAGGCTCTTACCATGTGCCCCCTCAGTCTTCTCTTCTCTAAAATTAAACAAACCTAATTCTTTTAACCTTTCCTCACAAGTGGTGTTTGCTAAAGCAATTGTTATTTTTGCTGCCCACCTCTCAACTCTCCAATTTGTCTGTATCTTCCCTTAAAGTATGCTAGAAATTTGACATTTATTTTAATTAGAACAGTTCCTTACCTGAATCTTTAACCCTGCCTATATAAAATTAATTGCTTGTCATTTTCAAGCATCACACAATGGTGGGAGATATGGGTTGGAAAAGATACTATCTTACCTGGTTACTTCCTTGCTGGTAACAGTGCCTTTCATAATTTTACCTTTGTTAGTGTGACTGTAGGAGCCAAGGGGCAATGTTAAGTTGTTTGTATGCCAAATAGTCTACTTTGTTCAATGGCATTGACAGTACTGTTGCTATTCATACTGAACAAGTTTCTATGCATCTTTGGAATAATTCTTTAGTTGGCAGCTAGAGACAGTGGTACGGCTTTGCTGCAATGTTGAACCACCTGTGGAACTAAAGAGAGAAAGGAATTAAGAGATGTGGTAAATCTAGTTAATAGAAAGCCAATTACCAGATCAGAAAACTTCCATTTTTAGAAATTAGAACATAATTTTACGTTTATCATCAAGGAGCAATGTTACATTACTGTGAAAAATAACTACATTTCTTTCTTGCTCAGAAGGTGTGTTCCCATGTATGGTTTGTAAAATAAGGAACAGGTAAAATCCTAGACATTCCATCTTGCTACTTAGCCACGTTCCATGGGGTTGTGAGAATCCGTAATACAGAGGTGCTGCTAGAAATACAAAAACTAATGTTCACGAACACCCAAGGAAAAAATGCTTTCCCATTATTCACTCTCTTAATCTTGAAATAGCCTAGTAATCGTTGCGGTTTCATGTAAGTAATTAGTATTTCTAATTTTTCTTAAACAGCATCAGAACTTGGGTCTAAACTTGAAGATACTTTACAGTGTAATGATGGACCTTTCTCAGGAGTTACAGGCAAGGCCGTTTTTAACAAAATATCATTACAGTAAATCGTACCTATGCAATGATATAGTAAAGGAAAATAATATTTGCTTTGTATTCTATTGAAATAATCCATATATGCAAACAAGACAAAAGGCCTCCTATGCTAAACCTTGTGTGATACTGAAGCCTGGTCAAAACTGCAGCATTATGGGTGTGTCTACACATGCTATTGGGAGTAGCAATAAACTGCGGAGCTTATTGCTCCCAGGAAGCTCATGGGCATGAGTCTGTGGCCCTAGCAACATGCTATAGTGAGGTAGTGACCGTGTTTGTCGACACGTGACCAGCAGCTACTTTACTATAGTGGCACACTCCCTCATTAGCTGCTACTTTGCAGCATGCTATAATAATAACCTTGTGCCTGGCATACAACGTAGTACGGGCTGCTACTGTGCTATGCTTTAGTACTTCCAAGAGAAAGTACTAAAGTATGGTGCAGTAGCAATGTTGTCATATGGGCACATGTAAACACACCCTGTGTGCACACCTGGATTGCAGTATATTGAGCTGTGTTGCAGTAGCCCCAGCTGGCAGGGAGTCTGGGGGGCCTTCCTGCTAGCCCAGAGCTGCTCCAGCTGAGTTCAACATGCTGCAGCGGGGCTGGCTTAGGGCACAAGGGTGCTTCAGTGTGGGGCTAGCCAGCAGGCAGTTCTGGTACTGAAGCACTGTCGTGCCCTAGCTAGCCAGTCAGCATCTCCATGTGTACTGCTGCGCAGGGAAAAAACTCCCTAGCAGGGTAGTACTTGTATTGTATTTACAAGTACTACCCTTCTGTGGAGCTTATTAGTTTCTTGTGACCTAATAACAAGGGTTCCCAAACCCCGGGCCATGGTTGGGTACCAGGCCACGAAGGGTTGGCTGCCGGACTGGAAGCGACTGTGGACAAATAAACCCTGGACCAGCAAACTGCAGACTGGAAGTGACTGGCATACTGTAGACTGGCAGCCACCTCTTTTTTTTTTTTATGCTGGGTTGAAAAAAGGATTGGCTGCCTGCCTGCAGTATGCCGGTCACTTCTGGTCTGTGGTTTGCTGGTCTGTGGTCTGCCAGTCCTCAGCATAAAGTTGGGAACCTCTGCCCTAATAGGGATGCACATATAGATACTGAGACATTTACTGTACAACTAAATAATCAACTGTGCAGTAAACATCTTGTATAGATGTGCCCTTTGACAGTTATGTTTGCTGTTTGTCAGTGTGGCAGTGCACCTTTTGAGGTCAAGGAGGCTATTGGTTATGGGCATGACTTGAAACTGCATCCTGCTGGGGATGGGTGGCCTGGTGGGGCTCCTGGTAGCATGGAAGCCCCCAGGAAATACCAGGCCAGGTACCACCCAGTGAAAGGCGGGTCGGGGTGCCTTAACTCCTAGCCCCCACAAGTTGGTGGGCATGAGGGCTAGGCATGGCTGTGGCCACCTGAGCTCCAGTTGGGGTGTAAGACCTCAGTAGAAGAGTGTGGCCAGCCACACCTGCAGCCACTTGAGCCCACAGGGGAGGAAGTCCCTGGAAGCCCCTGATCGGGGATAGTTGTGTGGCCCTGGAGAGAGAGGGCAGTTGTGAAGGCCCTGAGAGGCCCAGGATGTAGGTGGTCCTGCACAGAGTAGGGTTGAATGGGAGTAGGCCTGAATGGCAGTCCCAGAGGTGCATTGAGTAGGACTGAGCTGGGAGTAAGCCTGAAGGGCGGTGCAGGGGCCAGCCCTGTGAGTTAGTTGAGTGTGAGGATGATGAGAAGACCCCAGGGTAGGGTGTGGTGTAGAGACCCTAGAGTGGGCATCAGTAGGAACCCCACGTGAGAGGAGTAGGCCAAAGTAAGTTTTCCGGCACCTGAGGCTGAGGGGGGGTGGCCTCAGCTAGAGAATTAGGGGTGAGTCCTGACCCCGGTAAGTCCTCCACTGCAAGGAGGCTGAGTGTGGGTGGAAGAAAGGCCTAAAAGTTGAGCACAATGATCTGCTGGTCCAGGGAGGGAGTGAGAGTTCCTGTGAGACCCTGGAGCACCAGTTGTGTTGTGGGTTACAAACAACATGTGGATGCCATCTGTGAGGCATGGGCTTTGGTGTAGGGGAGGTTTTGGAACTGCAGATAACCCCCCTGCCATCAGGGCAGGAAACGGGCAGCCTTCCTCTTGGGTAATATTTTAACCATTTTCCATCAAGGCATGGCAGGTGAGAGAGGCAGGCCCAGAAACAGGTGGGCAGG